TCACAACCCACAAACGTTACTTTTAAAATATATTCTAAAGGCATACATATTTACACTTGGAAAGAAAACTAAATACACCAAATGTCTAATGAGCAGTTCCCTTCTATCTACATATTCAAGGGCCAATATTTTAGTGCTGTAATGAAATAAAACTTTTTCTTCAACAGAAGTGTGCTAGCATACTTTGGTCATCACTTGTATCTATTTTCAGCATGTATTTGTTGACTGCTTTAGAGCTCATTAAAATAAACAGAGTCTTTGCGAAAGTGTTTTTGTGTTCCAGTGACGATAATTAAAAAGATAGTTTTCGTGCTGCTTAGATTATATGAAGTGTGCTTAGATACCTTTTTAGAATCTAAAGGCAATAACATGTACCTGTTGTCCTTGTTAAGTACCTATAATTGAGGGGAAATTGACTAGCAAATACAAAGAAAATTGAAAAATGATTCAAACTAGAATTGAAAAATGATTAACGACCATTAGAAACACGCATTGTTGTTAATCTAAGACACTTTGAATTATGGAAAAAGAGGAAATAAATAATAGAACTCATGTAAAGAGAACATCAGGAGTAAACTTGCATAATAATAAGATAAATTATATGGACTGTATTTTATAACTCTGCTCTTTGCAGCACATCTTAACTTGATACATCTACTTATTTCTTCTTTGGAGGTATTAACAGAATTGTTGGCCATTCAAGTTATCAATAGTTTAGTAATGAAAATTAAATGAAGCAACAACAAACATAAGGTTGGTTGCCCTAAAGCAAGGCAAAATTTGTTACAATCTACTGTGTATGCAAGTTTTGCTGTATTCTCCCAAATCTAATAATTTTCTAAATCATCTAGTTTCTACTCTCTATTAATTTTCACTTTTAGTGAGAAAAAACCTTTTTTTTCAATTAATTGAGTAGTCAAGTAAAAAACACTAACAGCTTGCCCGTATATGAAGGTTGCATGGACTTGTGTGGAAATTACAGTGATTTCTTGTTTAATTCTTATATCAGTGATACAGACTACTGAGACAGAAGAATTTGTAATGCTTCCATCAGGAATGTGTCAGAGACCTCCCTGTACTCTGAGCACAGAAAGCAAAAGTATCTTCCTAAAGTTCAGAAGTGATCAGAACCTCCATGTTCTCCTCCGCTTCTGCAGATACCTGATGATAACCCCTTTTCAGAATCCATGGTGCAAGGCACCGATGTTGCTTTTTCTCTAAACTCTTTCACGAAGTCTTCAGTGACTAATCAAGTTTGGAGTTGCTGTGTTTATTGTGATAACATCACACAATACATTTCCATTTCCAAATTGAATGGTCTTAATTTTTAGAATCAACTTTGGAACCAAGTATTTTCCAGTTAATGTAGAAGCTGCTTTCCAGAAACAATTTCTATTATGCATTTTAAAATTCTCATTTCTCAAATTCCCCTTCTTAGTAAACTCATTTACCAAGAACAAAAATAGGTGGGCCTTGAACACACTAAAATCTAGTTTGCTCACTGAAGAGCAGGGGCACTCAAGCAGATGAAGAGCTTACCTGCTTCATTCTCTTATTTCCAGCAGTGACCAGTAGTAGATGTGTAGGGAAAAAAAAAAATTCTTCTACTAGTATATCTTTCTACCTTCCAGCAACCAGTAGCAGAGGGACCTGTCCTCCTGGACTGAGTTTATATCTGTCTGTTTTTTTGTCCAGAACAGAACGCCCTCTTTTTCAGATCATCTGCTACTACAGTGACGAGCACAGGTCCTTGTAACACACCCCTCCAACTATTTGGAAAAAAAGTAATTTGTTCCTAATTCTTCTACTAGTATATCTTTCTACCTTCCAGCAACCAGTAGCAGAGGGACCTGTCCTCCTGGACTGAGTTTATATCTGTCTGTTTTTTTGTCCAGAACAGAACGCCCTCTTTTTCAGATCATCTGCTACTACAGTGACGAGCACAGGTCCTTGTAACACACCCCTCCAACTATTTGGAAAAAAAGTAATTTGTTCCTACCTCCTTTTCTTATCTCTAATCAGTCATTAATTTATGAAAGGACCTTCTTTCTTTTCCCACGACAACTTCCAGTTAATAGCATTGGGAAAGAATCTTATCAAAAATGTTCTATGGAAATAAACATAGTATATCAAACATACTTACTTGCTTTCTGAATTTCAAAAAACTCTAACAGACTAAGAAAGCATGATTTTTTTCTAAAAGAAAAAGCAAAAACCAAGTCATGTTGACTCTTCCCCATTATATCATATGCTTATTCATTCGTGCTGTGGTCATGAACAGTTTCCTTCATAGAAGTGCTAGAATGAATTTTTATGCAGATCCCTCTGGATTCTCTCCTGAAAAAAAGGATTTGACACTTGCCACAGCTATTCTTCCTGTGCTAAGGCCACTATAAGTGATAAGCTATACAACAAAGCTGGTTGTTTGGCAATTGCAATTTCTTGTCTAAGTTCCTTTGAAACACCTGAGAGAATATTATCTGGTCCTTATATTTGTCACAGTTCATTTTATTAATTTCTTCTAAAGTATCTTCTATTGATACTAAATTTGAAACACTTCCTGGGACTTACCTCCCATAAAAAAAAGCTCCAGGATAAGAACTTCCCAAACTCTCACAATGCAAAGAATTATCTTATTTTTATGCCTTAGAGACTCTCGTCTTTCAGTGTATTTGAAAAAAGGTTTTATTATTAGTTTTTACGCTCTTAGAAAGTGGGTCCTCAGAGTCTTTGTGGGCTTGCTATATGTACTTTTGTGGGCTTGCTATACATACTTTACATTTAACTTGCTAGAGTTCATGCTTATTTCTTATTCTCAAATGACTCTCTTTTGTAGAACTTCTTTTCTGTTGTTTAACTAGGCCTTTAAAAAGGCCACAGTTTTTGTAGCATATCACCAGCCCCTACAGAGCTTTCTATGGATTATTACTGAAAACATAGCTGCAAAGCAGTGAGTTAATAACTGCTGGGCGTGCGATTTGCCCAGCAGATACATCACGCAATATGAGTATGCACAGGCTCACAAACTTCAGTCTCCCGCAGTGCAGTTCTTTCCCAGCAGCATTAATGGGAACTCAGCTGTGATGTAACAAATACTTATCAGCAACTTCAGACCTGAGCATGTTCCTCCCACATTTCACAGGGGCCTCTTCCCCTGCAAATCACACCGGCCAGCAGTGGAAGACCATCTGTATTGTGCTTTTCTGTGAATCTTCCCTCCTATTGCATCATTTTTAGGGCATGATTACATTTGTACCTCTCTCTCAGGTAGGAGAGGCTTTTGTTTAGAAAGGACCACCTGAATTCTTTTCCTCTTAGGAACAGCCCTAAAAGGACAGTGAGCAGCACTATCGAAACTTCAAGGTCAGGTGCCAGCATTACAAGAAGGTCAGCGGTTATGATAGAAAATACAATTGCCTCTACACCCATGACTGATTGGTTACGTTTGACAGCTCTCCACTTCGTGACAGTGTTAGACACAGCGAGTGTGAAATTTAGCTTCAGTGACTCCAGCCTCTTGTTACAGCTTTCTCTAATGTGCCATGGCAGAGAGGCTGAGCGAGCTGAACGCCGCTGGAACTTGAAAGGACCCAATATTAAAGAAGACATAACAGCGATGGTTCTCATTTCGCGCTGACCGGGCTTCCTCTCCGTTCACATGATAGATCTGAAGCAGCAGCGGTGGTGGTGCTTAGCTCAGCAGGAGCAGCAGCTGTCATGCTGCATGTGTACCTCGGAGCTGTGATCAGCTCGGGGAAGTCTGCCTCAAGTGCTCCCTCAGATGATCCACAGAAATGTTGCTGCTTAATGATGGCAGCCCTCTAAGGTAAAGTGGTCTAGGCCTAGAACAAATTTTAATCGGAAGAACTGCCTAATTATCACACACACTTTACAAATGAGCTCGCTTAGACACAGAAGAATTTAAGTGAGTGGTCTGAAGGCAAAAATTGTTTACAGCAATCAGTAGGAAGAGATACCAGCAGACCCAGATTGCCAGTCCTCTGCTGTAACCCCTTCAGTGTGATAAATTCATTTTGTGCCTTTCGAAAAACACTTCTTTCTGCAACCAAAAGAGATTCAGGAGAAAAAGGGGGAGTCACTCAGCAATTTTTGACACGCCTGTCCTTGGAAACTGAGACCACAGAGGTTATGGCAGCCGCCTTCCAGACCCTGACGGCACAGAAAAAGGCTGATTTAACTTGCAAAGCTAGTAAGAGCAAAGAGAAGTGTCAGGGTAAAGGTAACACTGTTGTACACAGAAATGCTGGTATAGACTTTTAAAGCCAGTTAGAAATTTTCTGTGCAAAGTCCCATTAAAGCAAATGGGGATGAACATCCAAATCCATACACATCTTTGAGAAACTCAGCTCTTTTAGCTCATATGCTTCCAAACCAGGATTTACGCTCTCTAAAAACAACCAGTAACTAAAATTAGCATAAGACAGGTTGTACTGTACATACAAGATAATTTCATCAAACTATACAGGTAAGAATTTTAAGTTAACTACAGATACCATTCCTTGCCCTTGAAGGTATTGAAAAACTCTGCTGGACACCACTTAGGTTTTCTGGTTCATATCTAGTCACGTTTATTGCTACATACTTATTAATACTAGAGGACTGAGCTGCTATCACTTAAAGAGTTACTGTATATTTATGGAGGTATGTGTACACATGTTTTTGCTACAGAAAGCAGAAGACAGAAATATTAAGCTGTAATAAAAGTGATTTAAGCTAACGTTTGCAATGGACAGAGTACACACACAAGCGGTCACTGCAACTTAGCTGACACAGGATAAGCAACAGTAATTCAAATTTGTGGAAGCCCTTGCTTTTCCAGAACTACCCTCTCACTTAAGATGTCTCACAGCTGAATTACCAGGTTTGAGCTTTTGATTTTCAATCACAAACACACAAACTGTACAGATATTATCTGAAGCTCGATACATCCATTTCCCAAACCGGCACTTTATAAGGAGGCTCAGAAGTCAGATACTCACTGATCTGGTTGGTAGATGCACTATAAAAAGCGTTTACAGTAGTTGGGCTTGTAAACCACCTGTAGTAAGAGCAAAAGAAATCAGCTGTCAGTACACTCACACAACTTTATGAATAGAATGAGCAAAGATAAAAAGTGAACTCATTGGAAGGAAGCAAAAATGTGGAAGACCTAGGATATAGTAAAGTTTAAGTATTTCTCCATTTCAACACATTACCTACACTTTCTTGAACACTGAAATCTATTGTTTAATGGCTTTATTTTAAGCGCATACAGTCAATGAATGTTCAACAGGAGTTAAGCTTCCTATTACCTAATCTGTTTTATTTCTAAGTGACCGTTGTGCTTGTGAGGTCTGCTATGCTGACGAACTGGAGTTCACCCAACAGAGGCTGCAACGCTGATAGCAGATGTAAAAACTCTCTCAGGTGTCTTTCAACCATGTGTGGAGAAACCCCCTTTTGAAATTAGAGGAAAGCATTTTGAAATGAGAGAAGTGGCTTCAGATACTTTGCTGAACAACTACTTGAACAATTAGGATGATGCCAGCAACATGGGCAGGTGCTTCCTGGGAACCTAAATTCAAAATAAACAGCTTCACATTCTGTATCCCACACAATGAACATGGTTATCAGTGTGCTCATAAACAAATGGACCTCTTGCAAGGCAAAACAAATTTTAAAAGGAATATTAGCATTTCTTCTCATAGTTAGATTTTTCATACATACTGGAGGGAAACCTAGATTTGAATAGCAAATAGGATTTACGAATTTCCTTAGCCTAAGCTCATCTATATTGACAGTGGTTTCACCCATATGAGTGGAAAATCTCAACTGGCTTCAGCAAGATCCAAATCCCCTCAGATGAAACTCTGAGTTCAGTGAGTCCAAGATTTCACTTTATGATTTTATAAGGAAGAACAGAGATAAAAGAAAAGTAATAAAGATGATGACAATTAATGGTTAATTCATAATAAATTAGAAGCAACTCTAGTAAGTGTCCAAACAGGAACATCCTGATGTCTTTAGCAATGCATTACTTGAAAGTTTTGTAAAGCCAAATGAATGCAATGCAATTGCTTTGGAAAATTTCTTTCAAAGAGAAGATATGGGAGCTGCAAAAAGAAGAGTAAGACAAAGGAAGATCTATCAGAACATGGAAAATATGTGATGTCAGTGAGATTCACGTACACAATCTGTGCTTTAAAATAGCACCATCAAATGAATGAGTTATCTGCAGATCCTGACTGTTTTTCTGCACGTAAACCATGCAACAAAGGGGAGAGTTTTAGAATGGCAGCATTCTGTCTTTTATCAATAAATTTATCTGCTTCTCCCATCTTCAAAGATGAGCAAAGCTGGAAAAACTAACCAATGAAGGCAAAGGATGATGTTAAGTATCTTAACCATCCACCGCATTATAGGCTCTGATTGCCACAGACAGCTCTCCCTGTTTTGTTTACTAGGAGATTCTGAACGGGAGGAGCAGGGGAAGGTTGTTTTCTGGTCTGTTTTCTGTTTCCTCTATAATAAAGAGATTAAATGTTAGAGGTAATGTAGTGAGGTAATGGAAAATTGAAAAGGAATACTTATGGTGAGGGGATAAAGAAAAGATTAGGGGGGTTAATTAACTACATTTCAATTTCATGTTTGTTCACAGCAGCAATCAGCTGAACTGTTTTGAAGGATGCAAGCCAGCCACTTGTGTGGTGGGACCTGCTCTCCAGGCTTAGCAGTAGCTCTGGAGGACTCAGTCCCTTTTTTGACAAGGGGAGAACCCATCTGAAAGGGGGCCATCTGAAATACTCAACACTTCAATTTAGATTTTACTGTAAGTTTGAACAAAGACACATAGCGTTGTGACTTCCCCCTCACTCTGTTGGCTTGCTCTACTTACAACGGCCTTTCTGTTCTCTCGAACAGCAACTTTTAAGCATGAAAAAGGCTTCTGGGACAATAAATCCTCTGTTTTTGCAAATCCTTCTTAAAGCGAGTGTCTACAGGGCCTCTCATTTCCAGTCACAGGATCAAGGGCCTGAGACAGATAACAGATACTTCAAAACAGACTAATGTGCTTTGCTCTTCTCCCCATCCTCTTTGCTGCTGCAGCCCCAGGGGCTCACCACAGCTAGTTCAAGATAGGAACCACCACAAACAGTGATTAAAGAGCTCTTCACTGACAAGCAACACCTCTCTAACAGTACAAGTTTGCACCCGTTTTTATTGGGTGAGGAGCTAACCAGTGATGCCCGTAGTTGTCACCACTGGAGCACCTCACTCTGCCCAAGAGCAACTGCAAATGCTGTTGCCATTTGGTCTGCAGCTACCGAGGGAGGACATCACACCACTGCTGGCCATGCTTTCATACCTATGAACTCATAGACTCTTCGCTCTTAGACTAGCTGCTAAGACTCATCACAAAATCCCCATCCTGAGACTGCTTCTTTCTTCATGATCTACCACTGCAATAACAGAGCCCATCCTGTTTCCTGAGCTTAGTAAGAGCCAAAGACGGATAGCAGCCTCGATTTTCTCACTGAAAAACGGAACTAAGTTCTTTCCAAGTCGCTCTTTCATAACAAGACCTACAGAATGACCCCATACAAAGTTTGTTATGTTTTTCAGCAGCTAGGAAGAGGAGACTTAGCAGCCATACAGAGGACTCAGGAAGAACAAGAGTTCTCTGGTGACAAGCAGAGTATACTGCTGAATTTCATATTTGACGTTTAGTCACTCGGCAAGGAACATATTTACACTCCAGCATTTTGTTGTATTATTCTGAGCCACTCTCAAAAAGATTTAGGAAGCTTTTCCACAAAAGAGCAGAATAACCAAGACTGCTTCCACTCAGACTAGCAGAACAACTTCACCTCTCATCTGTCATCCTCTTTCAGTGAGCTCCTTGAAATGACTGAACCTTCAGTGGCAGACCTTAACTAATAACACATCAAATTACTATATGAAGGTCTGTAATAAATAACTGTCGCTGTTAAATTTTAAGGTGAAGCAAATTTAGAAATAACGCGTTCATTCCTGTTTGAAGTCAGGTTGCCTGGGTATTTGCTCTAGGTCTGGTTACAATTTCAGTGCATTTGATCTATTAACAGAAGGAAAGAAAAAAAAAACAGGCATAACAAACTCTAAGCTCTTACTAATTACAAACTAACTAACTAAAAAAAAATCTAGAATTGTTTACACTGTTTCCATTGGCTATTAGCATGTGAAAAAGCTTCAGCTTTGAATGATGTCCTGTAACATTACCTATCAACTACTGCAGCAGTCAAAAACTAATGCTGCAGACTTGACACTTGTAAGTTTGAGATTTCTCTTGTAGAAATAAAATCTGAAACCTGCAATGAGATAGCAAGCGGGGCAGATACTCTCTTAGATATTTGTTTCTTTAGGCTAGAATTTTTTCCACGATATCTTCCTTTCTGAGTTAAGAGTATCGTGTGCTACATTGCCAGTCATTAAGGGGGGTGACTGGAAACACTGACAATACAGGGAAAAGCTTATTAATTTATTTAATTCTCTGTAAAGAACAAACTGAATTTGCAATTTGTTTCCTCAACTTTTTGAGTTAGAAGAAATCAATCAGGTGGAGCAGAATTTGGTGTTCAATGTCCCAAGTAAGAATTTTTTTAAAAAAAATCATATAAGTAAAGAAAATGAACTTGTGAATGTATAACACATTTAAGCTGGTTAGAAGTGAAAGGCTGTACAAAGTTGCTAATGAAGCTGGAATCTGGAAGATCTCTTCCCAAGAAAGGACTATAAAGAAAAACTTCTAACGGGGAGGCAATCTTCAAGGTGGTGTATTTCCTTTTCTCATTGTTAGTCTGTTTTATACATTTTCCTGTGTAGAAACAGAGAATTAGCCTCCTAGGCCAGGCTGTCACATGTCTGGGCAAGAAACGGGGATGGTAAGGCTGGGACGAGCCTCCCGTGCCACATCACTGCTTAAAATGAGGTTCAAAGACCAGGAAAAGGCTCCAGGAGGCTCCCTTCCAGCCTCTCCTCTCCAGGGCAGGTCCACCCACGGGATTTCTGAGCTCTCCAGCAGCATCTCTACAACAGACAACAGCCTGCCCAGTGTCTTTCATGGCTGCTTCTCCCTTTTTGCAGAAGGAGCTTTTGCACTCATCCAACCCAGCACCTCTCAGAGCTGCCCTCCCTGGTGGTGAACCAAGAGCCAGGGCTTACAAACAACAGTGTGTGGTCAAGAAACTGGAATAGGTCCTGGAGGAGACCCAGGAATCTTCTCAAAGTACACTTCCTCTGTGTCCTTTTATAAGGTTACTAGATGCCTAAATCTCAACTAAAAGTTGAGTGAAAAGTGAAGAAAGATTTGGCCAGGTCTAAAAATCTTAGAGGGGATGTCCTGACTTCAAAGGAGAAAGATTAATAATAATGAAGTGGTATGCCCAACAGGTCCTCTGATCCCCTGCTATGTGCAAGTATGATATCAGTGTTAATGTGCTGGTTTTGGCTGGGATAGAGTTAGTTTTCTTCATAGTAGCTAGTATGAGGGTATGTTTTGGATTTGTGCTGGAAAACCAGCTCAGTTAAGAAGGATAGATTCAATCACTGTTAAAAAGGCGTGGGTGTGTGCTTGTATATACATACACATATACACACACGTGTATGTATATTTGTATGTATGAATGTATATAGCTCCATGGATGGATAAGTAAACGCCAATAAAATCCTGATTCTCCTTTATCTCTCCCATCCACATGGCCATCACTTAAAATCATAGAATCATCAAGGTTGGAAAAGACCTCTAAGATCATCGAGTCCAACCGTCAACCCAACACCACCATGCCCACTAAACCATGTCCCTAAATGCCACATCTACACGTCTTTTAAATACTTCCAGGGATGGTGACTCAACCACTTCCCTGGGCAGCCTGTTCCAAGGCCTGACCACTCTTTCGGTGAAGAAGTTTTTCCTAATGTCCAATCTAAACCTCTCTTGGCACAGCTTGAGGCCATTTCCTCTCATCCTATCGCTAGTTACTTGGGAGAAGAGACCAACCCCCACCTCGCTACAACCTCCTTTCAGGTAGTTGTAGAGAACGATAAGGCCCCCCCTCAGCCTCCTCTTCTCCAGACTAAACAGTCCCATTTCCCTCAGCCGCTCCTCGTAAGAGGATTTCCTCATGCCCTGCCTTTCACCTCCCTCTGCTCTAGTTGTGTCTCACCTGGATTATTATAATTGTCTTCATGCCTGGTCCCCTTCCTCCCGCACACCCCTTTTCCAGCCTTGCCTCCTCCATTGAGCCCTCTTGATCAACCTGTGCCGTTTCGTGCATCATGTTCCTCATCTCCTGCCACAAATCCCTTTTGTACGTGTCTCTTCGGATACCTGAACACTTTTTCTCTTGTTTGATAGAGCCATCTGTGAAGATGACAGCCATCTCCCCAGCCAGCTGTTAGGATCACAGCTGGCATCCAAAGCAGGTGTTGAGGACAGCAAGTTGCACCTCCCGCAGCTGCGGTGCCCACAGGGGAGCCTGGCCCTGGGACCAGCAGAAAAGGCAGCTCCAGTGCCCTGATGCCTTGTCACAGCTCCTTGGTATCAGCTGGGCCGGCTACGTCCGCCCCATCCATGCCCTGAGCAATGCTTGCTTGACTTCCTCCATGTTCCTTTTTCCTCTAAGGCAGATAACTGCTAGGGAGGGAGGGAGCAGAACAGAGGACAAAGAATTTTGATAATTACTCCTGCTTTGGGGGATTTTTTTCCCCTCTTTTTAGATTACAAAACTGTTGCATTTCCACTTTGATATCCACATTCACTCTTGCTTTATCAAACTCCTTTGCCTTGTACCTCCCAGCTCCTCTGTCCCCTGATGGTGTTCCCCTGGTGCTTTGAGTGAACCACCATTTTGATTTTCCATTTAGTTGACTATGCTGAGGAAAGTGAGTCCAGTTTGAAATAATATTGCTGAGAAATCTGGACTGCATGCTAAATGGATATAGCGTTTTACCTTTTGGGGTTAATATTACTTTACTAGGTGGTAACTTATTTTCTTAAACACTCGTTTTCTCATTTATCTTTATCAGTCCACGACCTGGACCATCTTATAATACCTATCTCTAAATATAAATATTATGCTAAAAGCTACTGAACTAGGGAAAAGAAGACATGAAACAAACAGAAACAAAACTCCAAGGGTAATTCTCTATTAATACAGCGCCAAGCTTCAGTGTAGACCAAGATCTATAAAATATAAAAGCTTAAGAAAGCAAAAACAGAAAAAGAAAAGAAAGAAAGAAAAAAGAGAAGTGAAAGCATCAGAAAATAGTAGTTAAAATGTGGCAATTGCTGATATTATTAAGGCCAGATCTGACACGCTTCAGACTTGTGGGTGGGAGTTATTGGTTTATTATAATAAATTTTTTAAAAAATTACTGGAGGTGCAATAACTCTCTGTGCCTTGGTACCCCTCAGCAGACACAGCAAAAGCAGACAGTGTGACACCATTTTCAGATCCCTTTTCTATTGCCGAGCAGGTGCAGAGGCAGAATAATCTTCCAGCAGGAAAAGGCCTAGGTTGGGGGTTCCCCCAGCCCCGCAGAAGGCAGAGCATATAGCTGTGCTGACTGAAAATCAAACTGGGATCCCCCAGGCCAGAACGTGCCCCACGGGATGACAAGAAAAGCAAGACAAAGGTGATGAGGGGGCTGCTGTTAAGCAGTCCTTGAAATAAGATGATAAAAACAAGCCTGAGAAAGTGTTCAATCTTGTAGTGGACAATTGCGTAAAACCTTCATTTTTTAAGCATACCCATGTGCCAGTTCTCAGATTACAGCCCTTGAGGTGTACAGTCAGGGATTACCTGCCACTTAATTTCCTTACAGGGGAGATTTCCCATCGTGCCAAGAAACTACGTAGTCTGCATTGGTGCTGCCCCTGTGCTGTTCATGAGGATGAGGTTGCTGATCACCATTGTTGTAGAGAGGCAAGTGTTATTTCACTGCTCTCATGGAAATTGTTGGTCTGAAGAGAATATACTGTCATGATCTAGTGCTGGCATCCAGGACTGCAGGAAAGCCCGTAAAATCATCCCCTGGGATTAACATTGCCATGTCAGAGAAAGGTGTGATGAGAAGGTAAAATTCACAATTAAAATTAAGCTATAAACCACCTCGAAAATACGGGGCCAAATTACAACACTCTAACCAGGAATAGCCTGTGCCTGTCCTGCTGACACCCTCTACCTGCCTCACAGACAACACAGAGCAACCCCTGAAACAAGGTATGGTTCAGTTTGAGTAGGAATTTCTGGAGCCCTGAGGAAATATCACCACAGGAGCTAAGCAGCAGCACCACTTTCCAAGTCTCTCTGTAGAAGGAGTCATTTTTAAGTAGCATGATTAGACTAATTAAGTTCTGTTTAGGTTTTAATTTGCATTTTAAGGATTTGATTACCCACCACTAAGAAAAGAGACTGATTCTCTCATGTATTTTATGACAGTATGTGACACAATCTGCACTCTCATGTTTACAAACAAATAAAAATAACGTATGTAAATTAAATTATGTTTTATTCCATATCATTGCTATCAACAGCAGGTAACTAACAATGCTGATTGCTATTACTAATAATAACATTATCTCTTACTAATGGTTTCATTCTTAGAAAATTTATTTCATAAATCCCTGCTGTACCATTCTGAATTCTAACTGTGACCAAGAGACAAAATCCATCTTTAATTGAGGTTCAATTACCCCTTTTTTCATTAAATTAAGTTTAAGCTGCAAGCACATGACTACTGTGCATCAGAACAAGGATACCTAGAACTTACCAAAAAAAATATCCACAGGAGTTTCTGAATAACTGGGGGGTTTGCCCATAGGCTTTTTGTATCATAATATGTTGCTTTGTATATAATTCTATTAAAACATAAATTGTATAAATTAAATAATATAAATTAAAATACTGTTAGAACATTATGTAAATTTGCCTTTTGTCTACTCACTCTGTTTTTGGAACTTCTTTTCTAAGCCAGTAGAAATCAGATTGGGCTGCATATTTGCGAGCTTGCAACACATTGCCAAAATAGTCACTTTCTGTAAACTTCAGCTGTACAGATAAAGCACAGACATTTTTAAAGCATGTCCAAGGAGACAAAAGCTGACATAAAACAGTCAGAACTTTTACTTTAAACAAGATAATCACCTAATTTTTTAGCCATTATCAAAGCAAGTAAAATTTTCACACTTGGTAGGAAGAATAAGTATTTTGTGAGCTTAGTTAAAAAACAGTGGCTGAACAGATCTACACAAGGGACTGGAACATTGGAAAAGCTCTTCCCTGCGCAGAGAACAGCTGAGGAACTCAGAAGTACCCAACAATGAATTGCAGACTGTGTGTTTCTAAGGCTATTATCCAGGCAACCTCTTTTCCATAAGGAGTAGGTCTACTTTTATTTTTTAAAGTGTATTTTAAAACCACTCTCAAAAATGTAACAAAGCCCCTTTTTTCAGTTTGTTTTGCATTTTATTACAAACACTTCGTACTCTGTGCCCTCCAAGGGTTCTGCCACTGCTTTCTTACTGTTTCTCACATTAAATGCTTACAGACATAGGGCTCCATGCTTCCATAAGCCTCCAAATTTAATAGCGACCCCCTCCCCACCCCCCGACCCCCAACCATGCAAGAAAAAGGGATGTTAATCTTTTACAAATCCAGCTGATATCCCTGTCACCAGTTTCAAGCAATCCTACGACTTGTGACGAAGTTATACTTCAGATTTCAACTATGGTTTTGCAACCACGATTAACAAGTGTTTTTCGCTAGACATTACCACTTATCCGGGCAAATAATTCCATACGTTGAGTTGTAATTTGGTCACATCCTCTGTCTCACTACACTGCCTTCACAGCACCATCTCACCCTACTCTTTCCAGGAACAGAACTAGGCTTGTAGAGTTAGTTCTTCAAAGTTTTCTCAATAAATTATGCCTCTTTTTAGTGTTCTTTTACGTTCTCTGGCAAATATGACCATCACTCTTGTATTTTACCAGTTCAGGATTGAATTTGTGATTCTGCTTTGCCTGTGACTTTCAGTAATACAATTCATTACATGCATGCCACAGTTAACCCTTTGGAAAATGGTAAAATATATTATCTTCATCATCTGCCTTCCTGCCTTAGTTAGGCTGAACAAGTCAGGAAGGAGTCCCCCCCACCAGTATCCTTGTCCAGCAGCCAGCACAGTAGGCATGTACATTGGTTAGGACCTCTAGGCGTGATTATAACCCACAAGCATAAATAAATTCATAGTCTGGAGAGGTGGGGAGAGCCTATATAGGGCACCATAAGTTGTGATATTCTGAGGAAAAATGCATTAGTATTTTTGAAGACCGTTACTTTGAGGTGAAATGGTTTTTTTTGTTTTGTTTCATTTTTATAACTAAATGCAAAATTTATGCCAGCGTATGTTTAACCTTAAAAATGCTTAATAGCAGGAAGGTTCTTTGTACCCAGGCACATTTTACTCCCAGCAGGCCTTGTGGTCATCTCACTTAGACACACCAGCATTGACAATTTAGACATGAGAGCTAGCATACTTAATTCAATGTCTAAAAATAACGAGGTAAGCAGAACTCCGGATGCATGCCAAACAAAAGAAGAGCTTTGATTTTAGACAGGAGCGAAACGGAGCAAAGAATGGTTGCAATATGTAAAAGAAGAAAGCTGCAAGTCTGACACTTACTGTTTTGATGTCTTCATTAATATATGTGTCATTCATTATAAACTGAGGGTAGCCCACTTTTGCCATAACTGCTTTTGCCTTTGAAAAAGAAAAAAAAGAAAAACAGATATAACCATTTCTCAGCATATGACTTTTTTTCCCATTCTATTTCCACTTTTTATTATTATGCTTCCCTGAAGGCATCTTAATTTAACTTCAAACCAGCTTGCCTACAAGGTAAACTTGGTGCCGCAGAGGAGCTTTGCATCACAACGTGGAGGGTCCAGGTTCTGTCGTTGGATTGTTACAGTGGGTCTGTTGTCACCTGGAGAGCTTTTGCAGACTTACAGCAATGTGTTTGAGTGCAAAATCTTAACAGCTGATTCTCCCTACCAGTTTTTTTGTTAATCAGATGATCAAACACTTGTTTTTACAATGTTTTCCAAAAGACAGCAGGAAATGGCCCATGTCGCTATGGCGCAGTAGCTGGTACTGTTAAAACAGATTTGATACACAGCTACAGATGAACCTGGATCCCAGCAAGTGCAGACTGGCATGTTTGCACTGACGGTCACTTCCATTTACACCTGAGGATGGGTGCACACTTTTCTGGACGCTGTACTTTCTTAAAAACACATGGCTAACCCTTGTTTCATTCTCCACTTTCATCCCTTTACTTTGCAGTCTTTGCCCTTTCCCTAACGTCAGTAAAGGTGTTCAAATAAGACACTTCACTTTTCATTAACTTTGGGTTTTTTTCCTCTTTCAGTCATGACTTGGTCCCAGTGCTTATGCGCAATCTGTGTAAACACTCTGGTGTGAAGTGATAGCAGCTGTAGATGAGTATTCCCATTTTGTAAATCATGGCATAAGTATATAAATAGCCTTAGTAATGTCCTCACAAAAACACCAGTAGGCCACCCTGTCACCCAGAATCTCTGTGGAAACAATGCCTGTCCAGAAGAGAAGCAGAAGGGTACAAAAGGATAAGGTGGCATACCAAGAAGTGAAATATGACAAGTCCATAGAATAAATTAAAGCCATGATGGACCAGGGTAGCACAAAGCTTTCACTTTGTATGTTTTCAGGATGCTGAATGTAATTTCTCCTTAAGTCTTTCGAATTCCCCCCACCCCTCAAAAAACGCTCTTCTGGAAATTTGTTCTTCAAACTCAAATGTCTAAACCCAAATGAATATTACAAGATATGAAATGCAATAATCGGATTAGTCCTTAATCACCTGCATCCATACCAACCCTGCATTCTGCTCTCTGCGAGCAGAGCCCGGACCTCTCTGGGGGCCCACCGACTTCTACTTCGCTCTTGCTGCACAGAGTGGCTGTTCAGGGGAAGATTCCCATTCCTCTGCAATGAAATCCTTGCCCCCTTCTTGCCCTCCACAGTGTCTCAATACACCAGGGCCTCCTATGACAGCAAGAATTAGAAACATCTGTTCCATAACCTTAAGAAGGAAGCTGATGGAGGACTGCCTCCATTTAACCAAAATTATTTTGTTTCCTCTTCTGTTTTTCAAGAAGAAAGGCCTCTCTGCTTCTTCAAACTCTCAATCTCTCAATCTCATTTCCAACCCAGTCATAATCCTCCATTTGTGACATCACAATTAATTGCGGTTGAGATAATTAAGATGTCACAAACAGAAGATTGTAACTTCAGGTAGGAAATTAGCAGCAGGAGCAGATGAACTCTTAAGCAAGAAAGATCCTATTGTCATGCAAATATCCCTAGTGATAAAAAAAAAAAAACAATGGAAGACAAATGCTGAACAGGAAATATGAAATGAGCCAAATTAACTCTCAACAGAATGTTTTCTAATTTTTCCAGAAGGTAGAGCAGCCTTTCAAGGTATTTTAAATGCCTGGGGGAGGATAAAAAGGGTGGGAGGGAGGGGGAGGGGCACAATTAAGTGTGTAGTTTGCAAGTTTGTATATAATCAAAAGCGTCTATTTTTTTTTCCCGGTGGTGTTGTCAGGTCCAGCTGACAACTTGGCAAGGAACTGAGAAATTTCCGTTTTCCACTTCATATGTTTCAATCCTAGTTACTATACTAGTCTTGAGAAAGCTAAGTACAAAACTCATCAGTTTTAGTTTTTACTAAGTCAGCTGCTTAAATAAGTTCAGTGAATCTCGAATGTTCTGCATGTGTTCCAGAATACCCATATGAATCACTTACAGTAGCCTCTGTGTTGAATCTACTTAATTGAGCCCCTTAGCATTTTAATTAAACAGATTTAATTTAAAAACTAACTTATATGATGAAGAGTAAACCCTTTAAAAACAATTTATAGTGCAACTTGCAAAAAAATCAACAGTGGCTTTTAAAGAAAAAGTAAGGATTAACTGTGCCAGTACACTGTCATTTCACCGATGATTTAGCCAGTACAATGTTGATCAAAAATTGTTGGTCATGTTTTGGTACATAAAAGAACAGTTTTGGCTTTGAGCTATATTATATCCTTTAAAAGCACTCAATTTCTAGACTAACTTCCAAATAAAAGCAAATAAATTCATGCTTCGCTGGCTGTAAATGCAGAGGACTATGAAGCCAGCCCAGACTTGGCAGCGTTTCTTTGCTGAAACAAGAAGAGATGGGCCCTGCCCTCAAACTCATGGTGCTAGGTGCCTGGTTGTGACCACAATATGTCTATCTCCACTTCACCGCATAGACATTTTGGGGTCTTTGTGGAATATAGAATCATAGAATAGTTTGGGTTGGAAGGGACCTTTAAAGATCATCTAGTCCAACCCCCCTGCCATGGGCTGGGACATCTTCAACTAAATCAGGTTGCTCAGAGCCCCGTCCAACCTGTCCTTGAATGTTTCCAGGGATGGGGCATCTACCACCTCTCTGGACAACCTGTTCCAGCATTTCACCACCCTCATTGAAACACGTATCTGCCACATCCATCTCGGTCTCTTCTTCCACAGCAGCCCACTAAGAGCAGCAGCTTGGAACTGCCAGGTTTTGGCCCTTTCAGACCCTATTCCTTAACCAAACATCTCCAAGGGTGAGGATGATTCCTCCAGGCTCCTTAATTGCAGGTCTAACATAAGTTGACCTAAATATCATATATAATCTTATAATGTCATAGATAATCATATAATTAATATTTAACATTAATTTTATATTTTAGTGACACTTAAATCCTTTAGTCTTGTCATGGCCCTGCTGCATTAGAAAAGGAAGAAAAAAAACCTAACCAGACTACCCCAGGAGAGCTGGGCTCACTTGTCAGGTCACACATACTCTTGCTTTGTGTCTTTGACAATTGATGTCGTGAGCTTAAGATTATGAGGAAAAAATGGTCAGGCACTACTGAGATATTTTGTTATAAAGCCTATAAACCCTAGTAAATAACAGAGTTTGTCTCAAAGAATTTTTTGAAAGTAAACTCAAAAGGTAATGCTGTTCCTAGTACTTTGATGTTTTATCAGTGGCTAAAGCTGTCTCTATGTTGTAAGATAGATATATATATACACACACATATATGGGGAAAATGTTATTTTATTGCATTTGTTACTTAGAAGTTTTTGCTACAATGTGTGTGTTGTAGAAGTCTGAGCAAGATACACAGGCTATATACTCTGTAATGACTAAACTCTAAGGCAGACCTTACTAACACTGTGTAGACCTTACTACCACTGTAATACCGATGCCTTCTTAAATGTTCCACCAGTCATGTAGGATAACAGATTCAGAAAAGTACACACTTTGTTACTACACCACCAAGTTAATTTGTTATTAGAAAACATAGGTACATGCTTAAACACCATTACAAAGCTTCTGGACCACCTAAAATCACAAATGAACAACATCCTTTAGGAGCCTTTTTGAGAACATCTAGAGCAAGAGCTGATAGAGAGCAAACTGGTACAAGGTTGTCATGTGCAATCCACGTCTCGCTATACAGCTTCTCCCAGAAAAGGAATGTGTCTCAAACTGGTCCTAATGGTATCTACGATGCGGCCAAAAATTTAGAGGTATGCCATGCTCCCCTGGGATTCTACTGAGCTAGTGGCCCAGGGCCACCTTATCTCCACTGTGTAGCACATACTGGTGTAGGAGAAATAGAGGAATAAGTTTGCTCGATCTGAAGGATCTCTTTTTTTGAAGGGCTGCCCCCAACATCCTCACTCCAGCCTGGGATGGGTCCTGGCCCATACAGCCCATGCAGGCACTCAGGGCAGGAAGCGTGGGTGGCAGGCCAGAAGGCTGTGGCACACCAATAAGTTCCCTGATGCCGATAGCGAAGGACCTGGTGGAGGGCACTGTTTCCTATAGCCAAAGCAAAACCCATGAGAGGACATCGGAAGCCTTCTGAAGTCCTTGGGAATCCCTCCAACTTGGATTCTTCCCTGGGGCTTTGCATCAGGTCCAAGCCTGTTCAGCTGAGCCCAGCACACAGCCCCGTTTATTTACGCAACAGACAAGTTGGAAAGTATTATATGAAGAGCAGGTTTCTAAATTTGCATGTTGGAAGTCTCTTGCTTCCTTGGCTATCTTTTCTGTTCACTTGAGTAATATTTAACAGCAGTTCAAAGACTCCTTATTCATACAGCACAAGAAAGTGGAAAACTCTTCTAGGACTGGCTTGCTCTTTGATAATGAAGTCAGTATTTTCCCCTTGATAAGATTAAAAGTATGTTTAAGAGACCAGCCTTCCAGGAGGCATGCACACACATACAGAGAAAGCAAATGAAATGTGACAAATGTACAGGAACCAACCATGTGGTAATTGCACATGAATCCGCCGTAAACGCACCATGCACAACATGTTATGGTTTAAAGGCTCATTTAATTCCTATCTCTAATTTGCATATTAAATAACCACGTGTACAGGAAGAAAAGGGGCAATGGGGTATTCCCCCCAGCTATTATTAAGTACTCAGCCTACCTTAGGCTGTCAGGTAAATTAAGAAAACTCACCTCCGCAGGCTTCCAATTCTGCCATTGAAAGCGAGAGGCTCTTGCAGGGGGTGACGCAGAACAGCAGCATGCGTTAGAGTAAGTCACGATAACTGTTTTCTATCCCAGCAGCCAGAGAGCAGGCTCCGAGGCAGAGAACCCGGAGTGGGACTACTCTCTCTGCCACTGATTAGGCAAGGAAGTTTCCCCACTGACTTCAACA